TTAATCTGGCACTGAATCTGAAGTGCCTAACCAATAGGAAGGATGAAAGATTCCTGTGTCACCTGGGCTTTTCCAGAAAAAAACAACCAACAAATAAGCTGGTCAAATGTGCCTGGGCCTGAGGAAAGAGGAGGAGCATGTCTGGCTCTGAGAGTTGGAGAGAATTCTGAGAAGGTACCTTGCCAGGGAGGAGGAGAAATAGCAAAATATTGAAAAATCAGCATCAAGAAATAGTAAGTTTACACTGTAAAAATAAATATTAGAAGCAATCATATTACTGAGATTGAGTTACCAATGTTCAATTAGGATGCTGTAACAGACTTTTTGCATGGTCTTAGCTTGTTGCAGATGCAAAATAATGTTTGTTTGTCCAAATGAATTAGCATGAGGAGCAGGCCAGCAGTGTATGGTTTTATTTCTCTTTTCATGGTCATATGACACAAAAGATGCAATAGATATGGCAAATTGTAAGAGAGAAATTAATTGGGAGATTTGAATGAATCTTAAGCTGATAGCAGAAAATTATTAATAGTGTATAATACTACTTTACCATTTGTCACAATTTAAAAAGTACTTTTTTATTTCTCATGAAAGTGTGGAAATTTCTCTTTCCAAAATCTTATGGAGGTCAGGGTTGTCTTCTAGTTTGTTTACAGTGTGATTTTTATGAGTCTTAGGGAAGTTTTTGGAGTTCTGACATTCAGTTAAGCAAGGTAATTTTTTTTCTTTTTTTTTTTTTTTGCTTACAGTTTAAGGATAGCACAGCATTTTTTAATGAGATGAATATCTTTAAATGTTGCTTATTTCATCAGAAAATACTGTACCTTCAAGGATAAATAATATTAAGCATTTCCTCAAAGGATTCTGTTATATTAAGAGAGTAGTTTAGAGATAAATTGCTTTATCAAACTGAATAAAAATGCTGGGCTGATTCAGCTGAGAAGAGGGCTTCGAAAGAATTTCATATCATCGTTCTTGTAAGAGATGCATGTGTCTGTAGTAATCAGCATAAGGATGAAACAACTAGCCATATCTTGAGCCAATTAGCCTGAGGGAGGGGAAAAAATACATCTCTCCTCAGCTTCTATATGATCTGCCAACATTTTTTAATGTGGAAAACTAAAACTTAAAAGAAGTGTTTGGTAAGTGCATATGAAATATCAACAAATAGTGGATTATATCTATTATTTGTTTTCATCCATTTTTTTCTTACATATTTGTAATTCATTTGGTTTAATACAAATTAAAAATATGTATTAGAATCCCAGTAATGTAATTTGAAGATATGTAGAAAAAGTAAGATATGCGTGTATGTACACCCACATGTTCATGCAGATGTGTATTTGGACACGTGTATGTATGCATGTACATACATACGTTCATATTTAATGATTAAAGTATTGTAGTTTGAAATAGTGTGTATGCCATCCAAATTCTTACATGGCTCTTGTAGGAAACTAAGCACCTTCTTAAATCTATTCAATTTAGCTGCCACCTGGGGAAGAAAGGAGGTGCTATTATTCCTATTATACCACAGGAAAAATGAAGCAGGGATTAAAAATTGTGCTTCTGTGTCCTACATGCAATTAAGGAGAAATGCTGCCATCTGAATCTAGAACATAGGCCTTCAAAGCTGAAGCCTACTGCTGGAACGTATAAAGAACATTGTGGAAGTAAAAAAAAAAAAAAAAGGCAAATTGGTTCAATGCAAAAAAACCCCAAACCTGTTACTTGGTTCAAAATGGACTAAAACAGATTCATGAAGGTAAAAAAATCCATGGGACATATTGAATACAGTGCTCTCCTGTCCAAAATACCCTAAATAATGAATGCTAAAAGGGCACACTAGTAAAAGAATATACTTACCAAGTTTCTTATGTTCTTTCCTTAAGCATTTGGACTGGCTGCTGTTGGAGACAAAATATTAGGTTAAGTGAAAGCTTGGTCTGATTTGGTGCAATCATTTTCATGTTAGGTCTGTACCTGCCCATCTTTTCACCATTAAAAACCCTGTTGTGACACAGAAGAGTCTCAGCATTCTCAGAGCTTCATTCTTCTCACGTCCTTCCCTTTTTACTCCTCCATATTTCTTTGCTGTTGTCCGTTCCACTGAATTTCATCCATCCATTCTTTCTTGCTTTCCAAGCACATCCTTTCAGGATGAATGCAAGTTTGCTGCAGAAAGAGTACACCAGATAAATCAGAGTTGTTTGGATTAATTTTTTTTTCCTGTTTCCTTGTTGATTTCACTTCAGGGACATGATACCAGGTGGAAGCAAATAGCCCAATGAAGGAGAGTACTCTTCAGACTGGAAGAGTATCCAACAATCTTGTATCAGAAACATCTTTCAATAACTTTTTGTTGTTGTTGATTTGCAAAATGAGAAGTGGAGGTACTAAATGAGGCTAACTTCTCCAGGAATAGATCAAGACAATAAGAGATTTTCAGCCACTTTGCAAATGACAAAGATCCAGTTGATACTGGGCATGGCTGTTATTTTGCTGTGCAGATTTACTTAAAAATAGTATATGAAGAGGCTATATAACATATACAGCAGAAGATTTTATATTTTGACCAAGGTGATTAATTTTCTT